ACCGTCTGTCCGCTCCTGAAAGAGGAGGAACGACGTGGAGTAAAGGAGTTGTAGGAGTGAGCGGGGCTGCCTGCAGGGGGCCTGCCTCCAGGGGCCGCCACCAGCCACCACCCGCCCGGCCGACCGTGAGGAGACGAGTGGGGAAGTATGTGCGCTGCGAGTGCGCCAATCTCCGTGGGCGAAGCCCCGAGCACAGGGCTATGCACCTTGCGACAATGCCGAGAGAAAAAGTATCACGATGCTTTCATGCAACAAAGGCAGATCTAATTAGCGGCCGCTGGACAAAGACGTATCAGAACACAGTCGACTATGCCCGAAAGAGTACTCCGGGCGACTCTACACCGAGAAAAATCCTTTCTTGATTCAAGTATATTTGTACTCGGGTTTGCAAGAGTACAATTTTTCTATTGGACTTATGCAAAAATGTTATCTATATAAGAAAAATCAACTTGTAAATAATCTTGTTCTTAAACAATTTTCTCTTTCGAAGAGGAGTGATCTAATTCCAATGGTATTTTTGCGTTGTTTCAAGAGAAAAGTTGCCCTTGTGCAAACCCGACTACAAATACTTAAATCAGGGAAGGATTTTTTCGGGTGCAAAATGCCTGGTTGATCTGCTTTGACGGAAAAAGAAGATGAAGAGACGAGCTGTGAACAGCATGGAAAAATTTCACTGCACTTTATACTTCCATCCTCCGTAGCCCGTATCACGGGATGGCACGGCCGCTCAGGTCGGATCAGGCCCATCCCCGTTGGAGCGAGAGCGAGTGGGTTTACCAGACCACCTGCAGGCGTGCGAGAAGGTTGCCTATGCGCTCGGATCCATAAAGTGCTAGGCTTGGTTGGAGTCGATGGGCTCGCCCACCCCGCACGCCTGCTTGTGTGGGGGGTAAGCTAGCATACGCACTCGCCCCAACAGGGCTGAACGAACGGCTGCCTCTGCAGAGAGGGGAATAGTGCATCAAAAGTTATTGATAGTTTCTCATAAAGGGATTGCCTGCTATTTCCGCTTTTCGCTTTTATTTTCTTCCTTCCGCGACGGCATTTACCTTCGGAGTATCCCGCTATCTGCTTCAGAATAGAACGGACGGACAGGGTGGGCGGTCTGCCCCGTAGTTTTAAAAAGGTAGACTAGCCCGCCCGCATTTACCTCTCCCGTCCCCTCCCTCCTCCCCTCTCCGCCTGCAAGCGGGCTAGTCTACCTCTTCAAAACTACAGGGCAGAGCGGCCACCCTCTAAGGTCCACGAGTATCGGGTCCGGCCCGGCAATGGCATTGTGAGCATTGTCTCTGTGTGAATGTCACACACTTTTAGGTGTGTGCATGCTCATTCGTACACTTAAAGGTGTATAGTTCATCGTTCGAAAACTCACTCACTTGTGCCTGCTCCATGTGTACAAATATGTCGTCCACACACCTAAAAGTGTGCGGAATTCACATATTGGGGTTTCCGGTGTGCCCACTTCCTTTGCGTGTCGGTGTTGGCTCAGCGCATGGATGGACACTCCGACACTACTACTACGAGACGCTGGCGACCAGGAGAGGGACGCTGGCGTCGCTGGCGGTCGGACGCTCTCCGCCTCGCTTCGCTTCCGTCCTCTGACGGCGCGATCCTACAGCAGGACAGGGTTGTGATTGACGGGCGGGGGGTCCTGTCGGGGTGGAAGAGGCACTTCGCATAACGGCGGGCGGCACCAGGAGGGTGGGGAGGGGTGGGGGGGCAGCGACGGCAAAGCAAGCGTCGCTCGCGACGCGACCTCCTCCCCCGGCCCTAATGAACTGTCAAGCGACGACGCCC